GCATAACCAACGCTAGGGCCATCAGTAAGATGACCGTTAAGGATACAGTTCAGCAAAAAAAAAAAAAAAACTGGAAAAGTTGAAAGTTGCATAGCTGAACAACCAGACTGAAAACTACTGCTGCCCGAAACATTCCAAACAGTAGAAAGACGAAGAAAAAATGGTGTATGAGACGGTGTGTACAGAAAATTTTTCAAAAATTTACAATTTTTGTTACGAATCGTGAAAAAGCAGGGATGAACTGCGACATCTCAAGAAACGAAAAAACAGAATTCCCGGCTCAAAAAAAAAAATCGATTAGGAAATCCACTTAGGGCTGGACAGTGGGTTTAAATCAGAGAATTAAGCTTTTATCGTTTAATTGGAAGGGAAAAGTAATGCTTGGTAAATGGCATTGTCTAAATAACATAGTGTTGGAAAAATGCGACTAGTACACATAGAACATTCACTAAACACAGAGCAACGATAATCGAAGCCTTCCTGCTAAACAACGGCCTACGACGCTTAGTGAATAATGCTGAAGTACTCTGGCGATGCTTACTAATGCAGTATTACTACTACAGAACAGTTGCCAGCTTCCAGAGGAAGAAAATTACTGAAAAAAAACAGTCGAAAATAGCATTTTTTGGTCTAAAAAACTAGCAAAAAAGTGCTTAAATTTTATATTATCCAAGAGCAATGATGACTTTAAGAGGTCCTAAAAATAAACATAAAAAAACAAGGCCCTATTATTTCATTATGCACTCTTTACCATTAGTCGAGTAACAAATTTTGTTACTCCAGTACATGTACAAAAAGTACCATTCGGCTCCAGGCTTTTACAATAATCCATATGATACCACTTCAACAAGACCAACCTTTTATGTCGCTGAGTAGTTCATCGATCAAAGAATGCCGGCTACTCTGTGCTGCTGGCACAATGCCCTGAAATGCTGGACAATCATAATTAAAAATTAAAAAATCATAATTTAAAAGAATCATAATTAAAAATCATAATTTGAAATCACAATTAAAAAATAATCATAATTAAAACTATTCTCTAAGAAAAATCAAAGCACAGAGAAGCAGAGCAAACTCGAAACACACTGGACAGCAATTACAGTTCGCGAGGCTGCTGACGGAATTCATGGCCAAGAATACCATGGGAACAGGACAGTGGAAGTTCCAATCAAACAGCACATGCCAGTACCAATTTACCATCGAAACATTTTCTCACTGACTGAATCAACCCATCGACTTTTACCGCTACCCTCCGAGAGCACTCAGTAATGTTTTCTGTTTACCACAACACCAAACAAAAATAGACTGTGAACAAAAAAAATCATGATTTCTATCAGGGCGCTTTTGAAACTGTGCAAAAATAACAAACTTGAGAAGTTGCTTCCCGAAATTCATGCACATTTTTGGCTTTCTTGGAAGGTGGACGGCTGCTTTTTGGCGATGCAGCAAGCTCTTCCTCAGTTTCAGGATGCAAACGCTTGTAGGCACTGAAAATTTTAGCAAGTTATCTGAAAGAATTAACGTGAAATAGCCGAGGAATACCTAACAAGATATCACACAGCAAACAGACATACCCACTTATTGCAGAATTATTCATTCTGCTATTGATTCTATTGACTATATTAAACAAGGCAACAAATTATGGATTCAACAAGTAATGAACAGGTAAGCAATTAGTTTTATTTATTTCCAAGACTACAGCTTTTTATTTTATTCTACCTTTTCCCCAATCTCTTTAAGAGTCTTCATTCCTTCTACTACTTATTTAATTTCTTCCAAATTACATCCTCAACATCCTTATCATCTATATCCTTCTCATCTTAATTAATTCTTACTCATAATTATACTCTTAATTATATTGTTAGCACAGCCGTCGCACTGACGAGGTCCAACTGTGGTATCGGTAAGAAATGTATACGACTTAATGGACCGAAACATTTCTTACCTACTTTAATAATTCTTTTTTACATCCTCCCTTTTTTATCTTTTCTATCATCCTTTCTTATATTTTCCAACAAAATTTTCATTCAGCCTTTTCTAGAGTATTACCTGCTTTCTTTAGCATATTTGCTCCATGCACGTGGTTTTGATTCGTCGCCAAACGGCTTGCATTCTTCCACCTGAAAACATAAGCCCTGTCACAGGAGTCAAACTTATCTGTGAAGTTCAAAGACTGATGACAGCCCTTTACCGCACTAATACAGAGCTAAGGATTTCCGGATCCAATCCCCACGAACTTGGCTTCTATTCTTTTCGTTCTTTTTTCCCTCTCACCTTGTACAGTACATGAAAAAAATTTCCAATTCCTTTTATACCTGTAATTTCATGCCTAAAATTTTAAAGAGCAACAATAATTAAGAAAAGATTTCTGGCAGAACTGAAGACGTATACATACACACTTACACACATACATACACAAACACACACATACTCACACATACACGTACATACATATACATACACACATATACACACATACATGCGCATACATGCACACATACATAGTCGACCTGTAATTTCATACCTAAAATTCTAAACAACAACAAAAATTACGAACAGATTTCTGGCAGAACTGAAAATGTATATACATACGCACTTACATGCATACACACATACATACACACACATATACAAACACATACACACACATACATAAACACATACATATACACATACATATGCGCACATATACATACATACGCACATACAGGATGGATTGGATCATGTATTTCGCCCTGTAAGGGAAGGGAATCAAAATAAATGGCAACGCGCACCAGACTAGCCGGTGCGATCATGCGTTTTGTGCAATTCAGCC